CGCTTAACCAACTGAGCCACCCAGGCGCCCTAGATGTAAAATTTTTAATGCAATTTTATACTGGTTAAAATTCAGAACTGAAACTTAAAAAAAAATCAATGTTTTAATCAGAAAAAGGAAACTATCAGTGGGGGCTCAGCTTTCCAGTACTTCAAACAATATTATGATTACAACCTCTACACATGTCAAGTGTTATTCTTGAAACTTACATTCATATTTAACATTTCCAAGTGTCTTAATAATCTCAGTAACTTTAAGCAAGATCACTGATTCAAAAAATATTTAGAGTACTATGTGTTTCTGACATTTTCTCAACCCTTTCCAGCTACATTTAGATTACTGTCCACTTGTTGCTAATTTATAGAGAAATATAAAAATTAAAAATAAGCTTTTCTTTTTGCCTTAGTTATTAAGTCTCAACTAAAAGGTAATAATTATACCCAGAAGGACAGAATTAAATTATTAGCCTTAGGTGGATTATAGAAGATATGTGAAGTTCAACAAGGCAACACTACAAATGTAGAAACTTCATAGTTGTGTTTAAATGAATAAAAAAATGAACATGCTCGGTCCTTTTCTATTTTCCTTTCATACAGAGTTTCTTACTATCTCATTTGTTAATGCTGCTAATTTCTGAATCACTTATGTAAATCCAAACACACAAAGGTATTTCATCAATAGCTTCCGTTTTTTTCTAAATATACTCTCAGCTGATTGAGTCTATGAGAGCTTGCTTTAAACATATTTCCTGGCATCATTAGTGTAAAAGCTGTAAACTACAAAAGTCTAACAGAATTACAGTGTTTAGGTATAAAAATGTTGGTTGCTAGAATCTGGTCTGAATGGCTTGCTAGCATGACTAGGATTCATGAAAAGTACTAATTAGCAGTACCCCAAGTTCTCGGAGTTCTTTATAATTTACCCATTCATTCAACGAATACTTATTAGGTATTCAAAAAGTGTCAGTTATTGGGCTAAGAATTGTGAGTAAATATGCCCAGTACCTATCTCTTGTTACAGACAGTAACAAAAATATCATAACCAACAAATGTAAAATTGCAATTATGACAGGTGCTATAAAGAAGAGTATGTGTTACTCTGAGAAACAAAAATGGGGGGATGGGCAGGTCAGGCAAGGCTTCCCTGAAGAAATGAGGCTTCAGCTGAGAGCAAAAAGAGGAACAGGAGTTAAGAAGGTGAAGGTAAAAGGGGAAACATTCCAGAAAGAACAGTTTATGCAAAAATCCTATGATGATGGTCAGAAGAAAGCTATCATAGTATAGCTAGGGCAATGAGAGCGAGAGGGAATATAGCTTCGTTACGACCAGGGACACATTGTGGAAGACATTGTAGGCTGGCTACAGTAAGGGTTTTGATCAGATTTACTTCTTTTTTCCCCAAGCTCACTGTCGTGTGGACAACAGACTAAAGAGACCACAGTGGATACACAAAGATGGCTTAGGAGGCTATTACAGTTGTCCAAGAAAGAGATGACAGTCTTCTTGGTTATCATGGTATGAGTAACAAGAGGAAGAATCTATTAATAGTGAGGGAGGAACTACACATAAATATTACTGTGGCCAATGAGAAATCCATTCTCAGGTATTACCTGTGTGACCATTATAGATAAAAGGTTAAAGCTTTTCTAGGTTTTACAGTAAAGTGTAAGTTAATTCCCCTTTAATCTGTTTTTTAATGCCTTACGGGTTTATATGGGCCTGTACTACTCGTATAGGAAATACTATATAGTTAATGATTACATTTTCAAAGCCACCCAGATATCCTTATGATTTTTCTAGTCTATCATATCAACAAATAACATATATTTAGTGCCTACTGTAAACAGGACATTGGGCTAACCTTTAGAGTTGTAAAGAGATATTAGAAAGAGTCCTCATTTTTTTTTTTTTAAGATTTTATTTATTTATTTGAGAGAGAGAGAATGAGAGAGAGCACATGAAAGGGGGGAGGGTCAGAGGGAGAAGCAGACTCTCTGCCGAGCAGAGAGCCCGATGCGGGACTCGATCCAGGGACTCCAGGATCATGACCTGAGCCGAAGGCAGTCGCTTAACCAACTGAGCCACCCAGGCGCCCTAAGAGTCCTCATTTTCAAAAGGCATATACTCTAGTTAAATAGACAGGACTTAGCCCAAATAGCAAATAAATTGCTAGGTCTCCTGCAGCCTACTACAAATGACCTACAAAGTAGGTCTCATTTTGTCCTTAGTCCAAAGGCTTATAAGTTTCAAAACATGCTTGGTTTACTGTAGTCAAAAGGAGAATTTTGAGAGGGGCCTAGCTGCTTTTTATTTACTTATTTTTTTAAATTTAAATTCAATTTAGTTAACATATAGTGTATTATTAGTTTCAGGGGTAGAATTTAGTGATTCATCAGTTGCATATAACACCCAGTGCTCATTATATCTAGCTGCTTTTTAAAATACAAAAGTCAGATAGAGATTGGAACTACCCTCTGACTCTGGCCAAAAGAGATTCTGAGAGGATGAATGAGTTATAAATAGAAAGAAAGAAAAGATGACTGAGGAAAGTATCTTGGAGCAAAACAAGTAGATCACAAACAAATATATACAGAATGTTTCAATTTTTAGAAAGTTCAAAACCAGGCAAAACAAAATTGTATTGTTAGGGGTGCAGAAGAAAGTGGGTTATGTATAAAGAAAAACTAGAAAATAATCACCATAAAATTCAAAATAGACATAAGAGGGGCTTCAGAGGTGCTGGCAATATTCTATTTCTTGGCCTGGCTGGTGTTTATAAAGGGATTTACCTCTTAACTGTTCTTTAAATTACATATCAAAATATATGGGTATATATTTATGCACACTTCTGTATGTACATTTATAATTTAAAAATCCTCTTAAAAAAAAGCATCTCTGGGGTCCCTGGCTGGCTCATGCTGATAGAGCATGTGACTCTTGATCTCAGGGTTGTGAGTTTGAGCCCTAAGTTGGGGGCAGAGATTACTAAAAAAAATATAAATAAATAAACTTAAGGGAAAAAAGCATCCCTGTGAATGAGGAAGCAGGACTTTGATTGGGCTTTAAATACTATTCTAAGCCCAAAGACTAACATAGCAGTGTTGACTAGAAAATTAGCACACTTTTCAGCCATGGACGGTCACTTAATGATAAAATGTACTTGAGTGGAAGCTAAATGTTAAATGGGGGCAAAGGAGAAGTGGTAGTGCTGAGCACAGACATAAAGGCATGAGAAAGAGTTCAGGGGAAACCCAGGCTGAAGATTTGGCTAGAAACAAAAAGATGAAATAAAAATGCAATTAATAAAATCTTATTTGGAAGGACAACTGAAGATAAGCCCTACCCAGATGCCAAAACATAAAGGATCACTTAAAAGTCAAATGCTATTTGATGAAGAAAAAAAACTATTCAATAACAGGTTTAGAGGAGAAATAAGTAATAAGCAGTACTTAAATATCACTTGCTTTCATGGACTAGGTCTCTTAAGTATTTGTGATTTTGATGAGGCGAACTTCTAAGGTTATATAAATAAATTAAAACTACATTTTCTATAATGAATTGGTGAATGAGCTATGGTAACATTTCAGTCACTTCTCATTCTTCTTATCAGAAGATAACCACAGTCTTAAGAATTCAAACTGACTCTAGGGGGCTAAGCATTATACCCTTTAACCTAAAATACTGAATTGACATGAATGTTACTAAAAATCTTTGTTGGTCCACCTGTCTGAGTAGCTATCCGTTCATACATCCATCTGTCCATCATTTATTGATTTCCTACTATTACCAGACATTATACAGGTTACTGGGGATATAGCAATAGATAAGATAGGCATAACCCCTGCCCTCATGGCATTTATGTAGGGGAGGAACATACATGAGTCAAAAAAATCTCACACATAATTATTTCATTACAACCATGATAAATGCAACAACATACAAGCACAGGGTGCTATGAGGTCATAAAGAAAGACTTAATTTAGTGCTGGACAGTTGAACAGGAAAGGACACCTTGTGGACGTAACACTTAAGCTGAAATCTGTAGGGTAAGCAGGAGTTAGGCAGGGATGGGGATGCAATAGGTAGAATTTTCTAGGTGGGAGGAATAGCATATATAAAGGCCCTGAGGCAGAGAAGAGCTTGGCATATAGAGGAAATGCATAGGGCCAAAATTCAAGTTTATAACATTTTTTGGACTACCTTGATAGTAGAGTCAGGTGACAGAGATTCCACTGACTTTAATAATGCCTAGAATTCTAGGACTACCTTTTTAGCAATGAGTATTTGCCTCTAGTGTAGACATTTAATTTATAGAATAAACACTAAAAGCAAGTATATTTTACAAGTAATCGAATGTGTAGAATTCAAACTCCCCTAATTTAATCTCTCTCAACAATTCTAAAATTACTTACAAAATAAACTGCTCCAAAACTTCCATGTCCAATTTCATGCAAATCAATAAAAAGTTCTTCAGGATCATCTTTGTAGAAGAGATCAGCAATCTCTGGGTCCTTTGGCACCCCTTTACGCATGATGTCCAGTATATGCAAATGTTTTGCTTTTGATATCCCAGTCAGCCTTATCTCTCATTTACAAATATTTTGGGGGTAAGTTTTTAGTACCTGTAAAAAAATAAGGTTTGACATTAACTTATTTCTAAAACATCTTGGTTGGTGGCAATACAAATTAATATTAAAAAGCACCTTGGTCTTACAACTTTGTAATAAAAAGACAAATAACCCAAAAGAAAAATGGGCAAAGGATCTGAATAGACATTTCACCAAAGATACACAAGTGGCCATTAACACATGAAAAGATGCTCCACATTATTAGTAATTAGAGAAATAAACATTAAAACCACAGTAATATATCATTTTATATCCACTAGGATAACTACTATCAAAAAGTCAAATACTATTGGTAAGGATGTGGAGAAAGCAGAACCCTCCAAAACTGCTGGTGGGAATATAAAGTGGTGCACCATTTTGGGAAACAGACTGGCAGTTCATCAAGAACTTAAAAATCAAGTTACCATTTGACCCAGAAATTCTACTACTTGGTATAAACCCAAGAGGAATAAAAACATATGTCCACACAAATACTTGTACGGATAGATACTGACAGCAGCATGATTCATAGTAGCCGGAGGTGGAAACAACCCAAATGTCCATTTGGTGAATGAATAAACAAAATGTGGTACATCTGTACAATGGAATATTACTCTGGCATAAAAAGGAACGAAGTACCAATATACGCTACAACATGGGTGAAACCTGTAAACATGATGCGAAGTTAAAGAAGCCAGTCACAAAAGACAAAGTATTGAATAATTCCATTTATATAATACACCCAGAATAACTAAATCTATGGAGACAGAAAGCAGATTATTGGTTGTCTACAGCTGGGGGAAAGAGAGTTTGGCGGTGATAGCTAAAATGGATGGGCTTTCTTTTTTTTTTTTCTTTTTTCTTTTTAAAGATTTTATTTATTTTTTAGAGAGCGAGCGAGAGAGAAACAGCATGAGAGGGGCTTTCTTTATAGAGTTATGAAAATGTTCTAAAACTGATTGTGGCGATGGTTGCACAATGGTTAATATACCAAAAACCACTGAATTGTACACTTTAAATGAGTTATATCTCAATAAATCTGCTTTTAAAAGCAGTTTGGTGGGGCGCCTGGGTGGCTCAGTTGGTTAACCGGCTGCCTTCGGCTCAGATCATGATCCTGAGGTCCTGGGATTGAGTCCCACCTCAGGCTCCCCCTGCTCTGCAGGGAGCCTGCTTCTCCCTCTCTCTCTGCCTGCCATTCCCCCTGTGTGCTCTCTCTCTGTCAAATAAATAAAATCTTAAAAAAAAAAAAAGCATTTTGGTCTAATTCATATTGAAATAATAACAGCTAAGGTTTATTAAGCACTATTTTGTGTCAGGCAACACTAAGTTCCATATATGTATATATTATTTTCTTTAATCCCTATAGCAGCTTCACAATGTAGGACTTTATTATTTTGATTTTATATAACAAATTAGAACTGGGAGGCAAAACTACTCCCCCATAATCAGGGAGCTAGTATTTGTCAGAACTGGGGCCCAAACCCAGATCTAACTGTAGAGCCCATGCTCTTAATATACAATATGTACATATAGAATAGGTAATTAGGTAACAAACTGCTACTATTTGGAGATTATGCTAACATTCACTTAAAGAGGCAGATTATTCTGCTGCTTTACAAAATATTCTGAGTTTAAAGTTTCTATTAATAGAAGGACATTATTTTGACATGCTTATATATTGGTTGTTAATAGTTACGTTTAGCTGATATAGATCCTTATTTTTTGAAAAATACTGAAATATTAACTTTCATCTATATTTTTGTATTATAAATATTCCCCCCCGCCATTAGAATCAATCATTCCAACACTGACCATATCACAGGATAATTTGTGTTTCTTCCTTGACCCATCAGATAACTATGCTAGAAATTTAGTTATTGGCCAATAAAATTGTGTTTTTAAAAATGTGAGCCAACAGGCTTCATTCAAGGAGAAGAGAAAAAGAGGATTGTTAATAAAGAAATATAAGTAGTCAATGCTAAGAATCATTTTTCTCTTGTGACATGACAGCGTTAGCTATGTACATTACATGGTTAGTCTAGTTAAATCATTAGCATATGTAGGTCAGCAGCCTAACCATCTATCCAGGCAACTCTTTCCTGACTCAACAAATATTTATTGAGTGCCTACTATTTGTCAGGTATGTACTGGGTGTTGGTTGGTCCCAGGTACAATGGGATGTGGTCCCTGTCCTTAAAGGGCTTAGAGGCCGATGTGGGAATAAGCATTACACTATAATCATACAAATAACAAAATGGTTATAAATGATTTTTATGATGAAAAAGCAAAAAATTTAATAGAAGATATAATAGGGTGACCCAGTCTGTTTTTTCTTGGATATGAAAAAGCATGCCTTTTTAGGAAAAAATAAAGTAATTCATTCAATATGGATGTATGAAAGAGTTGGAAGGAGAAAATATAAAGCTGGTGTTAAGCCAAGGAAAATCACACCAGGCCTTTTAGGCCATATTAAGAAATTTGGACTTTATCCTGAGGGTGGTGGGGAGCCATCAAAGGTTTCAAACAGGAAAAAGGGATTCCTCTGCACACTCCACTTGTAATCCTGGGCACTCATCCTGACAATCCATGAATATTGATAACCAAGTATAAAGTCAATGTATTAATACTATTGAAAAAGTGACTTAAATTTAGTTGTCAGTCGGGGCGCCTGGGTGGCTCAGATGGTTGGGCGTCTGCCTTCGGCTCAGGTCATGATCCCGGGGTCCTGGGATCGAGTCCCGCATCGGGCTCCCTGCTCGGCGGGAAGCCTGCTTCTCACTCTCCCATTCCCCCTGCTTGTGTTCCTGCTCTCACTATCTCTCTCTCTCTGTCAAATAAATAAATAAAATCTTTAAAAAAAAAAAAAAATTTAGTTGTCAGTCAAGTGACTAAAAGTACAAAACTAACATTGAAAAAGTGCTATTGTCTTCATTGCTTATGTTTGAGAACATAAAAGAGAAACAATACATTAAATCAAGGATATGCATTTTCAAGACTATGCCAAAAAAAAAAAAAAAAGCAAATTATGAGAATGTCTTTAGAAAAAACAAAAAGATCTCTGAACTAAATTTATGAGAACTAAAATCTTTTCAATCATCAAAATGTATTCTAGGGGCTCCTGGGTGGCTCAGTTGTTAAGCGTCTGCGTTCAGTGCAGGTCATGATTCCAGGGTCCTGGGATCAAGCCCCGCATCAGGCTCTCTGCTCAGTGAAAAGCCTGCTTCTCCCTCTCCCACTCCCCCTGCTTGTGTTTCCTCTCTTGCTGTGTCTCTCTCTGTCAAATAAATAAATAAAATCTTTAAAAAAAATGTATTCTAAACTTTTAAATATTTTGGCTTCAGTGTGAATAAAGCTAAGTACTATGGATAATCATTTGGAAGAATACATATTTCACTATGTCATACTCTAGACTAAAATGATTCTCTAAAGAAATGAATATTTAAATACAAAAAAAATGACACCATAAAAACTTCTTAAATAAATTTCAGGTGAATCTTTAAATACTAAGCAAGACACCAGAGGCAAAAGTCATAAACTAAAATCAGTAAAATTGACTATATGCAATTAATAACTTCTATATCTTAAAAAATACAATGAATGGACTTCTGATTCCAGCCAAGATGGAGTAACAGGGACTGGATTTATTATCTGCCACCAGAAACAACTAACATTACAGGAAGGAAAACAGACCAAAATTCTTCATAAATATAGATGCAAAAACTGATAACAAAATTACAGCATATAAAATCCAATAATATATAAAATGGGTAATACATCATGAGTAGATGGGATTTATCCCAGGAATGCAAGGTTGGTTTAACACTCAAAAATCAAGCAATGTAATTCACCAAATCAACAATCTGAAAAAAAGCCAAATAATCATCTCTAAAGATGTAGAAAATCATCTGACAAAATGAGCCAACTCAGAATAGAAGGTAATATCCCCATCCTGTTAAAGGAAATCTATGAAACATTTATAGCTAATATCAAAAGTAATGGTCAAAGACCAAATGATTTCCTCCTAAGATTAGGAATGAAGCAAGGAAGTCTGCTCTCAGCCCTTCTCTTCAACATTGTGCTGGATGGTCTATAAGTGTAATAAGGCAAGAAAAAAATAAAGACATCAAGATTGGAAGGGAGAAGTGAGACTTTTACTGACAAACAACATAACCACCTATGTAGAAAATTCAGTGCAATCTACAAAAAGCTACTAGAATTAATAACTGAGTTAATCAAAGTGGCAGAACACAAGACCAAGATCAATATATAAAACTCAATTATATTTTTATATATGAACAAATGGAAACCAAAACTTCAAAACATCACACTAGCATAAAAGTATGAAATACTTAGGGATAAATCTGACAAAGAATGTGCAAGACCTGTACATTGAGAATTATAAAATAATGTAAGCAACTACTTTCTGCAAGGTAGGAGGTGCAGAGAAGTGAATCTGAGTGATTCTGATATATGGGAAGATAAACCATGGGGGTAGGGAGTCTCCATAAGCCGGCTACCAGAAAGTGATACAGCAGTGGAACACAAAATGAGAACCCTGCTCCAGTGAGGGAGGTCTCACCTGAAAGGTGCTCACATTGCTAAGCAGGGACAGAACCTTAGGTAGGTCAGTGTGGTCTCAGGATCCCCAGGGTCACAGGAAGACCAGGGGTGCCTGAGTGAGGCAGAGTTCCCAGGCACTGGAGCAGGGAAGCCAGCTGCAATCAGGGAGCCCAGGAGTGGGCTCTCAGCTCGGGGTTGTCACAAACCATGAACCATGGCACGATTGGGTGACTGCTCCCTGAGCCGGGGCCCAGCAAGTGGCAGTACCAGTGAGACACCCCTTCCTCCCCAGGAGAGGAGTGGTGAAGGAGTGTTCCGCAGGAGTCTGCAGGGTTTGGAGACTCGAAATGGGGTCGTGTGCCTGAGATAGAAACCCTTGGTCACAGGCAGGGTAAGCATGGAGTGCAGCCGGAGACCGGGGAGACGGGAGTGACTGACTGCTTTTCTCTGGT